GGTACCTCGCCGCCCCCAGGGGGGCTTGCGATCTGCGCCACTTTCGCCACTTTCGTGGGCTGCTGGGAGGCCCAGCGGAGGTACGTCCCACGCGGATCACCTCGGTACCTCGCCGCCCCCCCGGGGGCTTGCGATCTGCGCCAGTGTCGCCACGTTCGTGGGCTGCTGGGAGGCCCAGCGGAGGTACGAGCCACGCGGATCACCTCGGTACCTCGCCGCCCCCTGGGGGGCTTGCGATCTGCGCGACTGTCGCCACTTTCGTGGGCTGCTGGGAGGCCCAGCGGAGGTGGGTGCCACGCGGATCACCTCGGTACCTCGCCGCCCCATGGGGGGCTTGCGATCTGCGCCAATGTCGCCACTTTCGTGGGTTGCTGGGAGGCCCAGCGGAGGGACGTCCCACGCGGATCACCTCGGTACCTCGCCGCCCCATGGGGGGCTTGCGATATGCGCCACTGTCGCCACTTTCGTGGGCTGCTGGGAGGCCCAGCGGAGGTAGCTCCCGCGCGGTGACTGGGTGCTTCTGCTTATCCTCGAGGCCGCGACCTTTTGCTTCCACTTTTGTGTTCTTTTCTTTGGGTCCGCTGCCGCGCCCTTTTTGTCTCCACTTTTGGATGAGTCCCCGCCCTCGTTATGCACCTCATGCATTTGCCTCTTTCAGCGCAGCGCGTTGCTGAGTCATGTTCTGGTTTAGCCCTCGCCGCCCCCCGCTTTTGTGTTTCTTTCAACGCCCTTGCGCTTCCACTTCGTATGTTTGCTGTTCCTCTTCTTGATGCTCTCTTCTAATGTCACTCCTGAGTGCTCTTCTTGCGCACTGTGGGTCCTTCAGAATGCCAGTCAGCATCGAGTGGTCCTGAATATAAGCGCCACGTGTATAAAAAAGGGTTGGGTACGTCGCAGGGTGATTTTTCTTTGTGGGTGGGGGGGTGGGGGTGCGGGGGGCGCAGCTGCGATGGTGGCCGTTGCTGTGGGGCTCCCGCAGCGTCGTGCGAGGGGGGGCGGCGGATATGTGTGGGCAGAGGTTCCAAACTTCAGCGCGCGCACCCCGCACAGCTTTTAGTTGCGCTCTCGCCGCCCTCGCGTGCGAGCATTTGCGTATCAATGCCCGGGCAGCAATGTCAACCTTGGCGCGTCGCGCCGAATAGCTGGCCCACGGCTTTGGCCATCTGGGTGCGTGCGCAGGCGGAGGAGGAGTTGCGCGGGGGGCAGCGGCGGTCGAGGTTCCACGCTTCAGCGCACGCACCCCGTTAATGTTAGTGTCGTTTGTGCAGGGGCCGGATATGGAGGCCAAGTTTACATTCAAATTTTACCACGCGCGGACAGCAGCGCCAGTATTGCACGGTGCGTTGGATCAGTTGGCCAGTTGCGTTGAACGTGTTTTTGCGACTGAATCCTATACCTTGCGGACCAAAGAACAACCGCCCAACGACCCATGGATATCTCAACCTACTTTGGATCTCATCGAACAGCGGATCTCCGCAAAACAATCTGGCGATGCTGACCGCGAGGAAACTTTGGGCAAGTTGATTCGGAAGGACGCCTGGGCCGATCTAGCGAGCTGGATACGCGCTACTCCTGTCGGTGGCAGCTGGGGCGCCGCCAGAAAATTGCGGAAGAAGCCCCAAACGACGCATGCTGGAGTTCGGGACCTTGACGACCAACTTGAAGGTAGTGCTGGCCGCCCAGACGTTTTGGAATATTATTTTGAAAAAGGTGCATTGGCAAGGACAATTTGCGAGTCTACTGCCTACTGCCACTGCTGCGCTTGGTGCAGATCTGCTTGCTGAAGTGGGGAACTTAACAATGGCAGAAATGCAGTCTGCTGAAAAGCGAATGAAGAACGGTAGAGCGGTGGGGCCAGGCGACGCGCCTCTGGATTTTCGGAACGTTTTAGCTCGATGCGCGCATGCGTGTGGAGTACTTTTGGAATTCTGTCAGAAATGTTGGGGTGACAAGGACACGCCGAACGCATGGCGAAAAGGGCGAAGTTATACTACTGTTCAAGAGAGGCAACGCGGAATTACCCAGAAGTTGCCGACCAATATCGATACTGTCTGTTGGATGCAAGGCTTTGGCGGCCATGCCGCGCCGGTGACTTCTTGGAGGAGAGGCTGAAGAACGTTTGCGCGACTCTTAGTTTGGATTCCGGCCTCGACGCGGGCCGCCGACGCTCTCGTGCTGGTTCGGCGATGATCGACGCGATTCCGTTGAACGACAGTGGTGGTTATGTCTTGCTTCTTCTTGACTGGGCGAAGGCTTTCGATCGATTGAAACCAGAATGTCTGCGCGCGGCCTTGGTGCGATTCGGACTGCTACCGCTTGTCGTAGACATGGTCAGAGGTATTACTGCACATCGCTATCTTACTATTGTCGATCATTGTGGTGATTCTTCTGAACGTCAGCACGCTGCTGGTATCGCGCCAGGTTGTCCTCCGTCACCATATTTGCTTGCTATTGTACAAAGGTAATGTTGGCAAACGTTTTCTCGGGTTTGCAGGTTTACAATAAACCGGAATATATAATAACCCAGGATTTTCTGTATGCAGGCGACGTAGCGTTGGTATCGCAACGTGCTGGCAATTTGCATCAACTTTTTGCGCTATCACCTCGGAAGGACAGATACGCTTTGGAGTTGAACTGCGGCAAGATCTCGCATATCCAAGTCTCCACCAATTACCAAGACACGATGCCCGTTAGGGAACCGATCAAGCTTGTAACAGAAACGGTATGTTTGGGAGGACTGCTTACGCAGGACGGACGAGTGGGCAATGAGTTTACCGGGCGGGTGGGGGAAAACAGATTTAGTTTTCAGCAACTATGTGAGATCTGGGGATGTTCTTCAGTTGGGCAACGGAAGCTGTTGTTCTACACGTCTTGCGTCCTCAGCACGCTCCTGTATTCGTTGGGCTCGTGGTGGCTCTTGTGAGTAGACAAATGTAGACCTGACGCATTTCACTGTGTGTGCTTGCCGAAAATTATTGGGCCGTCTTATTTTTGGAGGGTGTCTGATGCAGATGTGCTGGAGACGGCGGGAACCAAGCTTCTGTCTGCAATTCTGAGTGACCACCAAGTGCAGCTATATTCCCCGATCAGAGCTTGCCTCTGTAGGGGTCCTAGCGGATTCGTATTGTTAGATGAGCTTTAGCCCTGTAGCCTTATGGCCCCATAACCTCATAGCCTGATAGCCCTAGAGGCCTATAACCCTATAGCTCTACATGTGCCTATAGCCGTATAGCCTTATAGCTCCAAAACTCTTTTCATCCCCGTAGCCCTATAGTTCCATGGTTCTATAGCCTTATAGTCTCATAGCTCTATAGACTCATAGCCCTATGGCCCCATAGCCCTGTAGCCCCAAAGCCCCGGAGCTCGACAGCCATATAGCCTTATGGCCCTATAACCCCCCATAACCCTATAGCCCTATAGACCTATCGCCCTATAGACCTATAACCCTATGGCCCCACACCCCATATAGTTCCATAGTCCTATATCCCCATAGCCCATTGCCCTTAGGCCCAATAGCCCCATAGCCCTATAGCCTCAAAAAGACTTTGTTTGGGTTTCCTCTGGTATCGTAGAGCTATTGCTTCGACGAGGGACGCTTCGCTGGTTAAAGAACTAGTGTGCGATGCGAGCGCTCGCCCTAGAAATTGGGCGACTCGATCTAGAGGCCCGGGTCGTCCGAGACAGCATTGGGCGCATAGTGTGTGTATAAACTTTGGCACGCGTGCAGACTTAGTTCCCCTTCCCTATGCCCCCCTTTCTCGTTCCCCCTCCCGTCCCCCCCGTTTTTGTTCCTCCCGCGACATGCTCGGGTGGGTAGTCTCATTGCGCATATTTGTTGTCTGATGGCCAACGTGCCATCTAGCCCATGCGTTTGCTTGACGCAAAGTTTCAGTCAGTCGCCACCGTCGAGCGCGAGCCTCTGCGTATCAACCTGCCCTCGATGAGGGCCATGTTCAGGAAGATTATGGGATGCAGGTGTGGTGGTTGGGTTGTGATGGGGTCTTCTCTAGAACTCGCCACGCATCTCAACGCGCGACGTTGTCACTTCAGGGACGTCGGTACATATGTCCCCGGTGCCGCTTGAGTTTGCGACAGTGCCCTCTGTGATGGCCCTTGGCTGGGGGGGCGGGACTGGATCTTGGAGAGGGGGTCTAGGGGCTGTGCCCTTGCGGGCCTTTGGTCTCGTTCCACTTCGTCACTCCCTCTTCGTCCAGGCGTTATTCGTTTTTTCCTAAACGCCTCGCGTTTTTTGTTTGTTTGTTTGTTTTTTGTGTACTTGTTTGTGTTGTTGTTGTTGTTGTTGTGTTGTTGTTGTTGTTGTTGTTGTTGTTGTTGTTGTTGTTGTTGTTGTTGTTGTTGTTGTTGTTGTTGTTGTTGTTGTTGTTGTTGTTGTTGTTTTTTTCCAGATGCAACAAGCTCTCGCTTAGTGTATGGCCAAGGTAAAAGAAATACGAGGAATGAAATGAGGAGCGGCGTCGGGAGGCAGGAGGATGAGGAGGAGGCAGGAGGCTGGGAGACAAGGGGGCAGGAGGCAGGAGGCAGGAATCAGGGGAATCGATGGTTGGTGGGGGTAGAGCTCGGATGTCGCCGCCTGTAGGCTCGACTGCGGCCAGGCGGCGCCGTTCGACCCCACGCGCAGCCTCGGTGACGCGCTCCTGCGGCCAACTCGCATTTACGTGAAGACCCTGCTGGCCCTGGCGCGCGAGTGGAGGGAGGAGGGGGGAGGAGAGGGGAGGGAGGCAGCAGCATCGGCTCGTTCAAACCACGAAGGGTTGGCTCGTGAAAGACGGTCCATTTCTCCATCCTCCCCCTCTCCCTCCCTTCCCCCCCTTCCCCTTCCCTCCCTTCTCCCCCTCTTCGCAGTGGCAGTGGAGGGGGAGGGGGGGAAGAGGAGGAGGAGGAGGAGGAGGAGGAGGAAAGGAGGGAGGGAGGAGGAGGAGGAGGAGGAGGAGGAGGAGAGGAGGAGAGGAGGAGGAGGAGGAGAGGAGGAAGAGGATGAG